GTGGGAAACAGACCTTAACCTTCAAGGAAGAGCTGGTGGATTCCTTTATGTGGTATCTGACCAGCCGGAGAGAAAAGACACACAAATACTGACGTGGAAATCCCTCAACACACAAGGAACGCTCCAGACCTCCCCATAAAGAAGCCCATCAGTTGACAAGTCTTACCCAGGCACAGTGAATTTCAAGCAACTTTTAGTGTTTGACACTTCACTATTATATGTGAACAAACAGAAATGCAAAGTTAATACGACATTTGAAAATCAATAATTGTAATTCACCATATTAAGAGAATAAAGTTGAAATGGGTCATTGACTTACATGTAAAAACTAAAAATTTAAAACTTATAGAAGAAAACACAGGAGAAAATATTCACAATCTTGGAATAGGCCAAGGTTTCTTGGGCCTGACCCCAAAATTCCTAACCACAAAGGAAAAATAAGTAATAAATTGGACTGCATTAAAATTACAAATGTCTGCTCTGTGAAAGAAATCATTAAGGAACTGAGAAATAAACCACTGTCTGGGAGAAAATTTTCCCAATGCTTATATCTGATGAAAGACTTGTATCAAGAATATATAAATAACTCTTACAACTCAATAATAAAATGTCTAACAACTCAAAGTATTTCAATAAGTAATTAATATATGAAGATCTAGGAATGACCAATAAGTATATCCAAAAATGCTCAACATACTAGTCATCAGGGAAATGCAAGTTAAAATTATGACATGACAAGATACTACTGGACATCTACTGGAAAGGCTAGAACTGAAAGGCTGACAAGACTAAGTACTGGTGAAGATGTGGAGCAGCTAGAACTCTGAGAGTATAAAATGGTGCCACTATTCTAAAAACAGTTTGGCAGCTTCTCATAAAGTAAAACATGCACTTAAATATGACCTAGCTATTTCATTTCTAGATATTTACTCAAGAGAAATTAAAACATGTATTCACACGAAGGCTTGTCCATGAATCTTTATGGTAGCTTTATTCATTATAGCCCTAACTAGAAACAATCCCAATATTCATCAATATGTGAATAGATACACTAACTGTGCTATATCCTTACAATGAATACTGTTTAGCAATAAGAAGAGACAATGAATAATACATGCAAATAATATGGAGAAATCTCGAAAACAGTGCACTGAGAGAAAGAAACCAGACATACAAGAGAACGTGCTGAATTATTCCATTATATGAAATTCTAGAACAGGCAAAACTAATCTATAACGACAGATCAGTGCTTGCCAGGTAACCAGGAACACAAGGAAGTTGATCACAGGAGGCGTGAGGGAATTTCTAGGGGTGATGTAAATGTCCTATATTTTGAGTAGAGTTGTTACATTGGTGTATCTATTGGTTAAAGCTCATTGAACTGTACACTCAAAATGTAAATTATATCTTGATAAAATTGATTTAAATTTTTTTTAAATAGGAAAGATATTAAGAAAGAAAGAATTCAGAAAAATTTACCAGAAATGCAAGATGTAAGCTCCTAGATTCTTAGCAGGTGTTCCACTAATATTTTTAATTTGATTGATTACGTAAAATATATGTAATACCATTAGCAAAGTTCTTGGTATATAGAAGATGCTTAATAATTTTTTATAGAACAAATGCCTGGATGGGTCCATTAATCCCTAAAGTTCTTTAATTCCCACTTATCTTGAGTTCATACTTGAATTGAGAAAAGGAAATTTATAAAGAACTTCTTAAAAAAGTGCAATCTGGGGGTCGGCCCGGTGGCGCAGCGGTTAAGTTCGCACGTTCCGCTTCTCGGCGGCCCGGGGTTCGCTGGTTCGGATCCCGGGTGCGGACATGGCACTGCTTGGCAGCCATGCTGTGGTAGGCGTCCCACGTATAAACTGGAGGAAGATGGGCACGGATGTTAGCTCAGAGCCAGGCTTCCTCAGCAAAAAGAGGAGGACTGGCAGTAGTTAGCTGAGGGCTAATCTTCCTCCAAAAAAAAAAAAAAGTGCAATTTGCCTTTTTTTCCAAGGAGGCACTTCTCTTGGTCTGAAGCAAAGGCTGGGGAGAGGAACCCCGTGGAAGCACTAACGCAGTCGCTGTGGCAGCAAATTAAGCTACTATACAAAGGAGAGTGGCCTCAAGGCTTCAAGAGGAGAAAGTACAGATAGTTAATAAGGTGAAATATGGCTAATAAAGTGAGTCAAAATAACAGCAAGAGTGTACTTAATGCAAAGCAACTTCCTGAAAGGAAGCTCAGAGTATGGTAAAATGGCCCAAAAAGCTGATGTCAGTGATCTGAACCACAGATAGGAGAGAGGCCTGGGCCTGGGCCAATTCAGAGCTCCATGCTTTTTAGAAGACCTGAGGGGGGCTATTTAACTCCTCTTTAATAGGTGAGGAAATAAAAGCTCAAAGAAAGGAAATGACTTACCCCTCGGTGCACAGGCATGGATTCAGAATTTTTCCCAGACCAGCTACATTTTCATCACCTTTCATGCCCAAAGAGGCCCCAAAAAGAGCTTCCAAATTAAACCAGTGAGTCTGGGTTTTGCCTACCAGTCTGTACGGCTGTATGTGCTTGTTCAGTGCAAATGAAAATCAAACTATTTCAGAAGTAAATTAATAGCCTCTGAAAAGAGTCAGTTTCTGATTGGCTCAGTTTATGATGGGAAACCTGTTCTTCTGACTTTTCTCATCCGTGAACTGAATTGTGGCTCCCTTTGAGGAAGGAGGGCATGAGTTCCTGGGAGCCAAATATAAAGAGAAATTGTTCTATGCTTCAAGGGATTTCACTAGGCTTTGGCCTCCCAAGTGGTTGCAAAGGTATTTTGCTCATCAAAGGGTGGTGTCTCTTGGTCCTCGTGAGCCAAGAGTGAATTGACTTGAGCTGGCTTCCAGCTGGTACTATTTGCAACTGTGGTTTTAGGGTCTTGATCTACTCCAATTGTTGAACTGAATTCTTGTTTTGTGGTTATAGGTGTCATCTGGCTTTTATGGTATGTTGGTATAATTAAAACCCAATTCCTGTATTTTACTACAAACATCACACACTTATTTATAACCTTCAAGGAACATGCTCACCTCCTCATGTACCTTAACACATCTAGTGGGTGCTATATATGGCAGAGGGCCCACTCACATGGAGGATAATAATTGCATCCTTTCCCTAAATTGCACTAAGAGGACTACCCATGTGATCCTTTGAGGACAAATAATTTCACCTTTTTGTTTTGAGTGTGAAAACTAGATATTGCTACAGTAGATGACAGCATAAGTCACCATGGTAAAGTCAAAATAGCCCTGGATTAAAAATCAGGAGATGCCTGAGGGAGGCTGGGATAGGTGATAGGTGATCACTAGTGTCGGAAGGAAAAAGAACAAAGCACCTGTTTTAGTCTGTTCCTGCTGCCACAGACTGGACAGCTTATAAACAACAGAAATTTATTTCTCACAGTTGTGGAGGCTGAAAGTCTGAGATCAGGCGCCAGGATGGTCGGGTGAGGGCCCTCTTCTGGGTTGCAGACTTCTAAATTGTATCCTCACATTGCAGAAGGAGCTCTCTAGTCTGTCTTATGAGAACACTAATCCTATCATGAGGGCTCCACCCTGATGGCCTAAGCACTTGCCACAGGCCCTACCTCCTAAGACCATCATGCTAGGCATTAGGATTTTGACATATGAATTTGGGCGGGCACACACATTCAGACCATAGTAATATCCATTGTTTACTGAATATATGTCATGAGTTTGACACTTAAAATGTTCTGCTATAAACTTTATACAACATAGGGACAGCCTTATATCTGTTTTATTTACTTTTTATATCAATGCTCATGACAGTACCCAACATATCTTAGTGGTTCAACAAACATTCTCAGCATGAATGAATGAACGAAAGGAGATAATAGTTTTACTTTTATTTTTCAGATTGGGAAATTAGACTTAAAGATACTAGGTAACTTGCACAAATTCACATAGCTGTTGTGTAGAAAAGCTTAGGATCATATTATGAATGATCTTGGATTCCAAAGTGTATCCTCTTCACTATGCCATGGGCTTTTAGTCAGCCAGTAGATAATTACTTAGACATGTCCTCATTTAGGGGAACTTTAGTACAATTATGTTACAATGTAAGGAGCAGCATCAACCTTAGTTACGTTTTAAAAGGGAGACTCAAGCAGCTGTATGAAGAACCAAAGTGGGGCAAGGGATGAAAAAGAGCGTCCTCATGGGAAGCTACAACAGCAGCCTAGGTGGGCAGTAATGTCTTGGGCTTACAGTGCCTGTGTTAGACATGGAGGAAAATGGACGACTTGGAGACAAGTTGCGGGGTGAATTGAGAGGACTGGCTGATGGACTACATGTGGAGAAGAAAGAAAGAGAGGAGCTGGGTATTGTTTCAAGCTTTTGATTTTAATTACAGAGTAGATGGTGGCACTATTCTCTGAGTTGTGAAAATCTAAGGGAACAATGGCTTTGCAGGATAGAAAATCAAGAGGTTTGTTTTGAACATGTAATCTTTGACGTGTTTCTTACATAAGCAGGTAGAGATATGGAATGAGCTATTAGATACGAGAGACTGGAACTCTGGAAAGAGGTGAGGGTGGGAGACATACTTTTAGGAGACTCCGACCTAATACAGTATTTAAGCTCTGGGCCCTTTACTGTGAAAGTCCCCGTCAGAAAAATGGTACATGGTACTTAGACAACCACAGCGAACTTGGCAAGAACACTCATTATGCCCTCAAAGTGACTCGAGCTGATGATTGCTTCTCAGGTTTGGTAGAAAGGTTGAAAGCAAAAACAGTCTTTACTGAGAATTCCCTCTGGCACGATATCAGATTGAAAAAATAGCCGAGTAGACTCAGCTAGAGACTTCGGCAGACTGAGAGCGAACTCAACCACTACAAGGCTTAGAGAAATTACAATGAGCTCTGGGTTAGTCAAAACATCACAACGACATCAAAAGTTCAGATGTGTGCAAGCTGAATATGATGACTTACTCTTTTTTTTTTCTATCCCAGAAAAGAAAACAAACGTCAACACGCCACACTCTGGAGATTTGAAGTACTGAAGCTTCAGGACTCAGTATTCAGTTCCCACCGGAGAACTGGCTGTATCACATTGCAGTGACTCATCCAGTGTCTGCCTTCCGCCTATGGTCTGGTCTTCTTGAGGGCAGGGAAAAACCTCTTCTTAACCATCTCTGCAGGCTCATAAAGTCTTGGGAGAATTATACTGACTCGATCATTGTGGGTTGATGAACTCAGCAAGTATTTGAGAAGGTTGATATTCAAAATATCTAACAGGAAAATATGATACAAAATAATTCTTCTATGAAATTCTATTTCTGTGAACAGCAATGAGTCTTCATACTGGTAACTTGTAAGATATATCAACTTCTGCTTTTCCTGCCACTGATTTTGGCCTCAAATCCTTTTCTGTGGCCTCAGTTGCCTTTCTATAGGAAGAAAAGACAGTATAGGTACATTATGTCATCATGGTGTTTTGTTTACTCAAACCTAATTCCATGGAGTCTTTGCCCTCAGGCTAGACACTTCGACAAGCCAGCTACCAGCTGTGACTAAATCTAGCCATTCCTCTTGACCTTTCTCATTAGAGGCCAAGAGCAGAAAAGAACGTTCTCTCTCCCACATCCAAGGATCACTTTATTTTATGCCCAGGGTGATTGACATATCATTCAGGAGAAACCATAATGGATACATTACCAATTTTAATTAATTCACTAGGCATATAAATAAGTGAGTTCAAGGTCTTATACCTTTGAAACATTTTTCAACAAATAATTTTAAAAATTATTAAAAATTTTTTCGAAGGGCCCTATGTCTCAACTTTTAGTTCATACAATATGATATTTTTAATTCAGGCCATTCACAAGTATTGTTATTATTTTATTTGCTGTATGCTTATTTATTTCTGTGCCCACCCTCAATCAAATGTGAACTTCATGAGGCCAGAGACCTATCAGAGACCTCCTGACCTACGCAGTAGACCCGTCCTCTATTGTATACTCAAGCCTAGCACAGTGCCAGACACCTAAAATGTGCTCAACATCTGTCAAGTGTACAGAATTACCTCCAGTCTTTATAACAATCTTAAAAGTTGGGTAGTATTATCTTTTGTTTTCAGAGGGGACAATCGAGCTTCAGAGAAAGGACATCTCTAAGGTAGTGAAACTGAGATATTATTTTAAATCTTGCATTGTTTTCTTATCCTGGTGTACATGGTTAATAATGTTGCATCACTCTCACCATCAAAGCTTGGTGAATAATCAGTGATTGCAATTTTCTCTATCTCTGGTTGGTTTTTCCACAGTGATTAGCCATACAACCTTTTAGGAAAAAAAGCATGCTTACTTCTCTAGGGTGCAAGTCTTCAGGGATCAGAGAGGAAATCTCAAGCAACAGGTAGATGGTGGAAGATATGAACAAGAAAAATTAAAATAAGAAATATTGGAAGAAAAAATAGGACACCATCAGAATATGTAGGATAAATGACTATGGATACCTCACTAGCAGAAAGATATGCAATTCCCTGACATTTATAGCTAATTTCCCTTGATTTTTAGGAGAGTCTCTAGAAAGAGATTCTGGGTATACATTCTCATAGTGTTTTAGTCACAGACAAGAACGATCTTTAAGAAGAGGATGTTATGTATTAGACCACATTCCAAATGGAGGTCTGTTAGGAAAACAAAATTAGGAGACACGTCTTCCATTCAAATTTATCAAGACTATTGGTACAGCTCTGCCTTGATCACTGGAACTCTACACTGAAAGCAGGAGCTTTTTCCAGTGTGCCCTCTGGAATATATACTGTTTGTTATATGATTTTAGAGGCACCCTTTTTGATGCTTCAATTTTTACAGCAGCAAAAGCAAGCCTAGATATAAAGAAATCTGCTGAATATGAATAAACCTTGCTATAGACATTAGGTCTATGCCTATTAAGATCCTAAAACTTCAACAAATTGAAAGCAGATTGTCTATGAACCAAGTAATATGATGATGCCAAAGTGTGGAATTTTCTGAAAAAAAAAAAATAGACCAGCTTTTTCTTGTAACTGCTTAATTTCAAGCCAAAATGCAGATGATATAGATAGGTTGGCACATTTGCTCAAAATGTTAAAGAAATTTTGGTATGTCTGGCTGAAAGCTGACTACATCACCATTCAGCCGTTCTCCTGAAAGACACTTAGGTTTTATGGTCTTTTGGGTCTAAAATTATTTGATCTTGTGATTTGGGTTCATATACTTAGTGGAAAAGCTTTCACTGAGTTCAAAAAGGAAATCAAATCTGGTCGATGCCAAAAGAAAATGCAAGGTGATGACTAATGACACTTCCATTCTCCTTTTCTCTGCTCTGGCCAAGAACATCAACTCCTGATTTCATCATGGATGGTGTAGCCAGGAAGGTTGGATTTGAATGCTTGTCCTCATGGAAGTGAGATAAAAAAAATATGGATATCCTTGACTACATGGACGACTTAAACACACGATGGGAATACATTCATACCCACCCATCATCTCCCTGGCAAGATGAGTTCTCCAGAGTTGCGTTGGATCGGAAGGCAACTTAGACATAAACAGTGAAAGGAGTAATTCCAAGGGCCTGCACACTTAAAATAAAATTCATCTTTGTGGATGTGAATGTTTAGCTGTGTTTCCATGAATCCAAGTTTGAATAGGTCCTTGGCTAGCATTCGCCACCAGGGCTGCAAGGTATACTTTTTCTTATCCATAAGAGGTGATGAAAAGCATTTTGCATTATATGCCAACATAGCTAATAAATAATCACAAATCCCTATTAAAAGAAAGGTTAAAAAGCAAACAAGTGAGGAGACTAGTTGGTTACTTTAGCAATAAACTTGGAGATAAATGATGGCGGCCCACATTAAGGGAGTGGCATTATAGATGAACATGAATAGTTGGAGTCAAGACGCGTTGAGGAGCTGGAATGAATGGAACCCATTGATGGTGGATGAAGAAGAGGGAGGAGTCAAGGATGGAAACAGGGCATTGGGCTTAGGCACTGAGATGGATGGGAGAGATGAGATGAACAAGACGCCATTCACTGAGACAGGAAAGAAGAAGGGAGGAGGAGGTTGTTTTGGAATTGCAAAAGGTAAACAGTCGAACTAACCAGATCTTACGGACATGCCTTTACTCAGTGGTACTTTTAAAAATAGAAAAACGTGGTATATGCTTCAATCATTCTTAGAAACTTGCCTTTCCTTATCTAACATTTGACATTAAATTTGGATTTGAAAAGAGAAATATCAGAAATAAAGAAACACTTCTAAGCCTTTAAATTGTGAGGTGTTACGTTAGATCCTGCAACTGCCACTGTCTCATGATATTATCATGCTAAACCGATAAGGTGAGCATTTCTAACCCCATATTAGAGATGATGTCCAGAAAACTTTAATCTCATTTTTCAGGTCATGTAACTTGCTGGCATTTGAGGGGCTGCCTTTACATATTTGTTATGTATGAGATAACATGGGAAAAACTTGCCACAAATTATTTTATTATGAAAATTCCATGAGGTAGATAATATTATTATCTTCATTTTACACTTGAGGAAACTGATGCATAGATATGCAAGGAAGATTGTCCAAATCATCACATAGCTCTTAAGTGTTGGAGCCAGAATTTCAACTGAGTTTGCCTTATCAGAAGAGTTTCTCAGCCTCAACGCTACTAAAATTTTGATTTGGAAAATTATTTGTTGTGGGGGCTGCCCAGTGCATCGTAGAATATTTATCAGCATCTGTGACCTCTATCCACCAGATGCCAGTAACACCCCCTTCCCCAAGTTGTGACAACCAAAAATGTTCTAGGCATTACCAAATGTCCATGGGAGCAAAACTGCCTCGAGTTGAGAACCACTGCCTTACCAAAATACTATTCTTCCTGGGTCCAATGCCATCACCTCTACTCTTTGAACCCAACTGTAAACACCTGTAAATTCTATTCTCCTCATGTATAATTTTCTTCTCCTTTTTTTTTTTTTAGTGAGGAGAATTGTCCCTGAGCTGAGATCTGTGCCAATCTTCCTCTATTTTGTATGTGGGATGCCGCCATAGCAACAGCATGGCTTGATGAGTGGTATGCATGTCTGTGCCCAGGACCCGAATTTGCGAACCCTAGGCCTCCGAAGCAGAACATGTGAACCTAACTAACCACTATACCACCGGGCCACCCCTGTCTTCTACTTTTTACTAAACATTTCTTTCAGAGATATAAAAACCTGCACTGGTTCTACAATTTGGAATTTTTCCAGCTCATTCTTCAAGAAAGCAGGAAGCTTTCTAAATCATAGAAAAGTGAGTTCAGAAAGGAAGATGCTCCATAGATTACTGCTGTTATTATTATTGTTGTTGATATTATTGTTGGTCAACCTATCCTATTGTCATTTTTGTTCTAATGTAGGCATGAGTTAATTTTATAGTGACAGCATCATAGCCAGCATGATTTGAGTTTAGTGGGAATCATAGATCTGGGCTTGGCTGTGCAGTTGGAGTCTGTGACACACCGGCGCTAAGAATAAGCTATTCTCCTTGTCTGTCCACATTTGGCTGTAGAATTTTTGTTCCATTATCAGTTAGCATCTACCTTTGTTCAGAGAGCTACCTATTACAATTTTTCAACTATTTTTAACCTCATAAAATTAATAAAGAGAGCCACAATATTAGCTTAGAATGATGGGGTCACACTATGGAAGAAAAATAGAGTTTGTTTAACAGTCAGCTAAGACAATTCTATTTATATGACTATATACCAATATGAAATAATGTAATGCTGGTGTTAATTTCTGTTTTCTCCTAACCAGGCGGTTTGTCAAATATTTGGCCAATGAAGGTTAAGGGGAATGCTTCTGGTCCTTTACTAAAACTGCTTTTCTTTTTTTTTTTTTTTACTGAATTCCAAGACAGCTACTTATGGTCTCTTGAGATACAATTTACAGACATCTTTTTCATGGATGAAGATCTTAAGTGGAATAAGATCCAAGGGAAGTTAAATTGAGGACATCAGATCGTATAACATCAGACATATTTCCAACAATTTTTTACACTGGGCTCTTTCCTAATAGGACATCTCATATACTCTATACTCAGAGTGATCCCACCACATTCTAAGACGTGATTCCCCAACACACATGTGCTGATGATCACAACTTACTCCACACTGGCCTTGACAAGTCATATTGAGCTCTGCCCCAAAGTTATTGGTTCTTTCTTCAAATGTTCTCAGGATGTTCCTTCACTAATTCAGCATTCACTGAGAGCCCACTACGTACTGGGCAAGTCATGGATCTAAGAGCTGAGAAGTCATAGATAAACATAATATAATCTCTGACCTCAAAGACCACTCAGTCTGATGGGAGAAATAGAAAGGGAACAGATTATTGAAATCATTTGGCAAGGTGATAGTGGAGGTATGGGTGGAATGCCAAGGGAGCCAGAGGAGGAAGGTCTCTTACAAGCCATGAGAAGAAGCTCTGGGAAGTTTGGAGGAGTCTGAGCAGAGTCTAGAGGGACAAATGGAAGTTGGCTAAAGAAAAGGAGGCAGAAGATCCCCAAAGGAGTAACAAGTAAAAGTCTAGAGGGTAATGAGAGCACGGTGCAGTGAGAGAAGCACAAGTAACAGTGAGGTGAAAGTATTTTTAGAAAAAGGCACTAGAGAGAGAGAGCTGACAAGACAGGAGGTGTTTTTCAGAGGAGAGGCTTGAAGCTGATTCTTTTTGGGGAAGGGGCAATTACTAGTGATGGTCAGGTCTAAGCTCCAACCATAGGGTCGGGTAAGTTGAGGTGGCAAGGAGAATGAGATCATGAAAAGAAGACAGGTTATTGGACAGACCCATCTACATGAATATGAAAATCACCAATGAGGATAACAGTAGTCATGGAGAGAAAATTCATGAGAGAGGAGCTAAAATATTCCATAAAAGACAGGAAAGAGCCCAGGACTCCTGTATTTGAGATATAAAGTAACAGACGATGTAGTCTGATAGTTTACTTTTGAATGGATAGTGGCTATATTAGAGAGTAAGGAGGATGAATAGTTGGGGAGTGCCAATAAAGAGCAAGCGGGACATCTACCTCACCCATAGACCCACAAAGTATGTGGAAAGTAAGATCCTCTCCAATTGATAGAGCTTCAGGGGAAGCAATATCCTCAGGTTTAGATTACAGGGGATTTGCTAATGACAGACTGTGAGTTCTTGAGTGCATTGTGGAAAGGTTTGGGGAATCAGAGATGGTGTGAGATTGAGTCAGATTAGGGAAAGTATACTCTTATGGGATTGAGGACCAGGTAATGAGGTTCTTCCCAAATTAATCTCTATATTCCATGGCACTCCAATCAATTTTCCAGTAGCATATTTTCACGAACATTGACAAAACGTGGTTTGAAATTCGTATGGAGGAATAGTTACCCAAGAATAGCAAAGAAAATTCTGCCAAAGTACAAGGATGTTCCACTTTCCCTAGTAGATACAAAGATATTATTATTATTATTATTTTTGAGGAAGATTAGCCCTAAGTTAACATTGCCACCAATCCTCCTTGTTTTGCTGAGAAAGATTGGCTGTGAGCTGACATCTGTGCCCATCTTCCTCCACTTTATATGTGGGATGCCTACCACAGCATGGCTTGATAAGCAGTGCATAGGTCCGCGTCCAGGATCCTAACTGGTGAACCCCAGGCAGCCAAAGCAGAGCATACAAACTTAACCACTATGCCATTGTGCTGGCCCCTAAAGACTTATTTTTAAGCCACATTAATTAAAATAGTGTAAGATTGATCAGTAGCATTAAATACACTGCCCAGAGACAGACCCTGGCATATAAGGAAATTGTTAAGGCAATCTTACAAATTAATAGAGAAAGAGGACTTTTCAAAGTAGAATGGGGAGAATGAGTATTCTTTATTTTTAAAAAAATATTCCAAACCATATTAAAAATATATTCCAGGTGATTTGAAAATTGGAGATGCAAGAGATGGAGAAAAACTTCAAAACAATTTGACCAAAATCCGTGTATAAAATGTATGTGTGTATATATGTATTTTATTGTTGGGAAGTAATTCTTAAATAGGACACAATATCTGTCATTTTCAATCAGATGATCCTGTTCATCAGGGAAATAGTGGGATGATTTTCTGGTCAACCAACACCCTGGGTCTTTGACAAAGAAATAGTTACATGCATGAAAGGGATGCAGCAAAACAATTCCTTACCTTCCTCTAATTAGTGGATCTATTCCATTTCACATGGCAATTAATGCGACAGCCACAAGTTGGGATTCTTTGCTGAATTGCTGAAGTACTATACTAGCAAGCAAAATTTCCTCTCAAATTCTAAAAGAGTTTTAGAGTCCTGGTTTTCAGCATCAGGAGCTTATGGGTTTTTGTGTCATTGTGTAGCATCAGGATGATTTTAGGAGAAGATAGAGGAAAATATGTCAAGTCCTCATATTATAACGTGATCTTAGAATAGAAGTTCCCAGAACTGAATATCAGGATGATCTGGGGATACCCAGATGAAGAAAGGGACATTAGGTGGAATAAAGACATCTGTGACTTGTCCACCTGGAAAGAAGGAGGCAGCAATGGGGGAGATGCTGTCACTCAGACAAGACTTGTTACCTCTCTTGGCATTAGCTAATTAAGTGACAATATTTCTTGCCTCACCTAACACACAAGGTTGTTTGGGGGAGTCAAAAATCACTTTGAGAACAAACTTCTTAAAACATACTGTTTGCAAAACAAGCACCAGGCACTAGGGGAGAAACTAAGATGCACAAGAGCTACCTGGGACCTCAGCGGAGATCCAGCATGGAAGCTACACCTGGGAATGTTGCCATGTAGCATCAGGCGAAGTAAGAAACAGAAAAAACAAAAAAACAAAACAAAACAAAAACAGAATCTTCAGAATAACGAATTTGTAAGCTCTTTTTAAAATACAACTGAATAGGATCTGTAACTTCTTTCTGTATTCTGAGAAGTCACAAGTCAGCATCCTTGACAGGCTACAACATAGACATTCGGTACCTTTGGAACAAATCAGACTCCTCGTCCAATAAAGCAGCTTACTAAGACTCCATGAAGAAAAGGGTGCTGAGATACCTACTCGTAGGTCTACTATACCAATTTTTCCTTTTGAAATATTGCACTGCAAGAGACAGTGATCCCACTTGATTGAAAACAGATTTGCAAATTTCCAAAGCCAAGACAATAATTCTATAAAAAGCCTCAGTCATTCTATTCAAACCACTGAAGTCGAAATGAAAATATCATGTCTGTGTGCTTCAGACATGTTTCTTACTCAGCAGTCAATGTCTCACCCTCTTCCAACTTGGGCCAAAGGGACAAT